AATGTTATAGTATGGTTTTTAACTGCGACCAAAACCTATACTTCATAGTTAGTTAGAAAAGGCCCCGACATAATAAATGCAAAATCATTTAAGCGAGAAAACTAACGGTTAATATACAAGAAAAAAATGAAGAAAAATAAAAACGAAAACGAAAAACAAATATGATACACAGCAAAAAACGACAACCATTAAATTTCAGGTCCCTGACTAAGGGCAAACATATACTGAATACAGAATGTAGGGTTTAAATATGTTTTCGGGCATTTTTTTTAATTTCTAACCTGTGACAATTGCTTATTAACACAAAGTAAGAACAAATTATAAAACATATATGACTAAAATAAAAGCATGCATTATTATCGCAGTTTTCATCAAAATATTTTAAATCAAGTAATTATGTCAATTTGTTTACAGAGTGTGGTTGTCACTTGGCACTTTTCTAAATTGAACGCTTCCATGAAGAGAACTGCACTCAAATGCACTTGCTATTCATATACCTACTTTTAAATAAATTTAGATTACCGATAAATATTCAAGTTCGGCAATAATCTTCCTTTGAAAAAAAAACGTGCTTTTAATCTTAAAAAGTAATATACAAACTTTATTTTCATTCAAAGACTATGACGATATCGAACAGCCGATGGAGTATTTCATTTTCTATCAAATATAACATTGCTTGCTTACATTTTGAGTAATTTACTTTTTGGCATGAAATTTGGCGTTAGCTCGGCCAACAAAATTTACGTTGTATATCATTTAAAGTTCGGTAAAGATATAAATCGTTAAACGTAAATTTTTAAAGTTATAAAAGTCATGTGTTCATCATTGTCTCATACCACGTATTGACATATATACATTATATTGATATTATATTCAAAACGATATCAGTGGACAACTTTTTAAAACATATCCTTGACAAAGATATAGTTTGACAGTTTTTACTTAATTAAGGTCAGTGTAACACTTTCAGATCAATATTTAAAAAAAGTTTACAAATTTTAGTTTCTTTGTAATTTTGAACAAATTTTAAAAAAATCAAAATCCTGAAATTTTTAAAGTTTTTGAAATTTAAATATTTTCAAACTCTAAAAATCATTTAAAGTTTGATAATTTAGATATTGGATCCAAATTATCGTGTATAAATGTAGTTTTGATTATTTCGCTTTTTTTAAATTTCATTTTTTTTTTAAATTTAGATATTAGAATAAAAAAAAACGGGTGAAAAGAGGGGTGCCTGTAAAGTGCGAAACAGAAGAAAAAGCGGAACGAAACGATCGAAACAAATAGAAACGAAACAAAATAAAAAGAAGTTACTGTTACTGTTACTTAAAAGATAATGTGTAAAATAAACAAGAGAAAGACAGTTGTAAGTGGTAAACAGTTTGTATGCTCTTATTTGTTATAATTACATAAAAGCATATAAGAACAACCAACACATTTGTTAAACGGGCTAGTCTCAGTACATGTAGACAAAGCAGACAACAAAAAATAAAACCCAATAAATAGTATAGAATTTAAGGACACACAATACCGATCTGAGAGTCTTACAGTAAGGTTTCTCATATTTATATAATCGTATTTATAAGATAAGAAAACTGGTTTTTTTTTTGCTCTCCTATCGATATACAATACTTTATAAACACACTTGTAGAATCTACTTTTGTTAAATACATGCTATAAAAACTATCATTTATTGGATAAGACTGATATTAAAAGCATGAATTTTTATCGCAGTTTTCATAAAAATATTTTAAATATTTTGATAAAAAGTGCGATAAAAATTCATGCTTTTCAAATTGTTATTGAGTTGCCGTGCCATTTGTATATCATCTTCTTCTAGTTTACGTTATAAAGGGTGATGTATGCAAAAATAAGAATGTTTGACACTTTTGACTGAGATTAACTAATGTAGAAGTTACCAACTAAATGTCATAGTACGGCCTTTCACTGCAAGAAAAATCCATCGTGCATAGTAATTTAGAAAAGGTCCCGACATAATAAACGTAAAATTATTTTAGCGAGAAAACTTACGGTTAATATACAAAAAAAAACCCCTACATGAACGAAAAACAAATATGATACATATCAACAAACGACAACCACTAAATTACAGGTCCATGACTAAGGGCAAATATATACAGAATGTGGGGGCTCAATATGTTTTCGAGCATGTGTTATATGCTCTTACCTGTAACAATTCTGCAATAGCACAAAGTAAAAACTAACTTTAAATCATAAAAAAATAGGCTAGACTCACTAGATTAAAACAAAGCCGACAACAATAAAAAAATAAAAAATCCAATAAAAACATCAACTAAAAGACACACAATACCGATCTGAGAGTCGTCATTTCAGATACGTTTCCCTTGTTTATTTAACTGTATTTCTAAGATAAGGAAACTGTTTTGTTTTCGTACTCATAGCTATATTCTATCTAAATAAAATTGCGAATGGAAATGGGGAATGTATCCGACCGAAGAGCAGATAACAGCCGAAGGTCAACAATGGGTCTTCAATGCAGCAAGAAAATCCCGCACCAAGAGACGTGCTTCAGCTGGCCCCTAAATAAAAATGTATACTAGTTCAGTGAAAATGGATGTCATTCTAAACTCCGAAATATATAAAAGAAAATAAAATTAAAAATCATACAAGACTAACAGAGGCCAGAGGCCCCTGACTTGGGACAGGCGCAAACATGCGGCGGTGTTAAACATGTTTTTTGAGATCTGAATCCTCTCCCTATACCTCTAGCCAATGTAGAAAAAACGAACACACAACAATAAACACAGTAAAACTCAGTTTAAAAGAAGTCCGAGTCCGATGTCAGAATAAGTAACAAACGAAACTAAACAATGACAATAGTACATAAATTAATAAAGGACTACTAGCAGTTACTGACATGTGAGCTCCAGACATCAATTAAACTGATTGAAAGAACTCTTTTTAACACACTTTTAAGATTTAATTTGGTTTTATACATGTTTTATAAACTATCATTTAATGGAAATGACTAATACATTGGGATTTTAAAAACATAATTTTTTCTCGCAGTTTTCATTAAAATTTTATAGATTAAGTAAGTCGGTCAATTTGTTTACAGAGTGTGTGTATACTATGGGAATGTTCTAAATTGAACGCTTCCGAGAAGTGAACTGTACTCAAATGCACTTGCTATTTATATAGCCACTTCAAAATAAATTTAGATTGCCGAGAAATATTCAAGTTCGGCAATACTCTTCCTTTTAAAAAAAATGTGTTTAATGATAAAAAAAAAAGTAATGTACAATCTTTATTTTCATGCAAAGGCTTTAACAATATCAAACAGCCGATGTAGTAATTTATTTTCTGTCAAATATTGCATTGCTTGTTTACATTTTAAGCCATTTACTTCTTGGCGGGAAATTTGACGCTAGTTCGGCCAATAAATTTTACATTATTTATAATATAAAGTTCGGCAAATTTATAAATTTTGATTGTACATTCCTGAAGTAAAAGTCAGGTGCTCAACCTTGTCTCATATCACGTATTGACATGTATACATTGTATTGATATTTAAATTTCAGACGATCTGATTGGACAACCTTTTGAGGAATAGTTGCAACATGGATCAAAGTTTTAATTGTTACAACATATCCTTGACAAACACATATATTGACAGTTTTCACTTAAAGTACAGATGAAATATCACCATTAATACGTTAATGAAAATATGTTCCTGCTAGCTGTGTTCAATCAATCATGTGTATTGTCAAATGAAAACCATCAGTGAGCATTTTGTCTTTTTTTAATATATATTTCATTATTACTAGCTAACTGTGATCAATCAATATTCAAATAAAAAGCTGCACTTGCAAAAGATATCACATGCCGTTATAATGAAGTGTTTACTTATGTTTGCATTTAATACTAGGCGAATACATTCTACACTTAGATAAACGTAATTTTCAATCATTAAATTTTTTAAATTGAATTAAAACGAACTACGTTATCGAATATAATCACAAGAAGGACGTAGAAATTACCAACTTAATACCATAGGGTGGCCTTTATATGCGAAAACAATCCTGCATAGTAAGTTAGAAAAGGTCCCGACATAATTCACGCTAAACTATTAAAGCGAGAAAACTATTGGTTTATATACAACAATAAACCTACAAAAACGAAAAACAAATATGATACACAGCAACAAACGACAAACACTAAATTACAGGTCCCTGACTCAGTGCAAACATATACAGAATGTACCTCAATATTTTTTCGATCATGTTTTATATGCTATAACCTATGACAATTGTGTAATAGCACACAGTAAAGACTAACTTTAAAACATACTTAAAAAGGCTAGACTCAGAAGTTTTAAACAAAGCAGAAAACAAACAAAAATTAATAAATAACACAACACTTAAAGGCACACAATACCGATCTGAGAGTCGTCGTTCAGACACATTTGTTATGTTTATATAACAGTATGTCTTCTCTCATATTTTCGTACTCCATGAAACATATACATTTACGTTACAAATTAAACACACAGCGTACAATGAATCAACATCACGTTCATTCGAATCTTCCTATTCAAACAAGATAAACAATATTGTGAATATAAAACTACGAAAAAGAGTAAGCCATACCATGTTTGCTATTGGCAGACAATAAATACTGTGAACAATTATTGCAAAACAACTGATGAAGTAACAATCGTAACAATTCTTTGTATTACACATGTTTCAAAGACAACTCGTTCTTGGTACAAATGTATAATATCAGACAACAACAGGGACATTTGTATTTTACTTTTTTATCACATTTTAAATTGTTTTGCAATGTAATCTAAAACGCCTAGATAAAACAAAAGTTAATATTCAAAATAATTATGTTTTATAATTTTCTTAATCTGTTTAAGTGTTTATGTAAAAGTTTTCCACGTATACCTCTTTGAACTCTTCTTACCTACGTCAATTTGAACTCCTGCATATAACTATTCGTCCCTTTAAAACATGAGCTTATCTTAAAGTGTTCACAGTGTATCAACAACGTTAATTGGTAAGTTTATAAGTTTTTTATAATTAATTTCAACACATCTTGCTTAGTTCTATGTGCACAGTTTTGTTTAACTGTTACATAACGTATGGATTTCGTTAGAAATGTATTGTCTCATAATTCACTTACTAAATGTCTTAATACACCAGACAAAAAAATACAGCATTTTGCGTTAGACACAATATTCAATCCCATTTTTGTGCTTAGATCTATCTTTTTTTGCAGTATACAATATATGTTTTACCGTGATATTAAAGAATAGAGCTTCAGACGCATCGTATTTATTACGGAGTATATATCTCCCAATTGGTACGGAGTATATATCTCCATGCATACGGAGTATATATCTCCCAATTAATACGATATTCCCGGGCTTGTGTTTCCTATCATGATTTCCTTGATATAGGATTGCTGCTCACAAGGAAGCTATTAAACCAAGAGTTCCAAATGGGGAAGTTGAAATCATCCCTTCGTAAATTTTACAGACGCCATCACGAGTTGGTTGACCGTTATGGAATAACCGTTTCACAGATGATATCGGATATGTTCCTTATGTCGTAACTACAATACCCTCCCTTTTCACGAATATGACTTACCGAATTAGACTATTTACCGGATTTGTAATAACATAAACAACACGACGGGTGCCACATGTGGAGCAGAATCTGCTTACCCTTCCAGAGCACCTGAGATCACCCCCAGTTTTTGGTGGGGTTCGTGTTGCTTAGTCTTTGGTTTTCTATGTTGTGTCATCTGTACTATTATTTGTCTGTTTGTCTTTTTATTTTTGGCCATGGCGTTGTCAGTTTGTTTTCGATCTATGAGTTTGACTGTCCCTCTGGTATCTTTCGTCCCTCTTTTACGTGTTATTTTCAATTCGCAATTTAAAATGATGTATTCATTGAAATTGGACTCTGGTCCCTTCTGTATATCAAATTGGAAAACACATTTTGCTTGACTTTTTGAATATCAATTATATGGTAATTTTTATAAATTTCCTGTTACAAAACTTTGAATAATTCGAAAAACTAAGGATTTTCTTATCCCAGTAATAGATTACCTTAGCCGTATTTGGCACAACTTTTTGGAATTCTGGGTCCTCAATGCTCTTCAAATTTGTACTTGTTTGGCTTTATAACTTTTTTGATCTGAGCGTCACTGATGAGTCTTATGTAGACGAAACGCGCGTCTGGCGTATTAAATTATAATCCTGGTACCTTTGATAACTATTTTCCTGGGCTCGAAATCGCAACGTTCTCGAAGTAAAACTCTACCAATCAACGTGTGAGGGTCCGTCTATCAAAGATCTAATTTAGTTTAGAAAAATGTTTATGAAAATTGGAAGATATAATATAGTTTATAAGGAATCAACTGTCCGTTGAATCCATCCCTTCGTAAAATAAAAGGACGTCATCATGCGTATATCACAGATGACGATGGATATGTTCCAATTGTCCTAACCACATTTTTTCCCCAGAATGTGACCTACCGAATAAGACTAATTACCGATTTTGTTCTAACATGAGCAACACGATGGCTGTGTTTGTGGAGCTGGATCTGCATTGGACCAAAGAGCATTTAAGATCACCTGCGTTTATGTTAAGGCTCGTGTCGCTCAGTCTTACTTTTCAATGCACTGTTTTGCGTATAGTCGTTTGTTTTGCCATTGAGTTGTCAGTTTATTTTCTACCTTTCAGTTGAAAGTTCTCTTTGATATATATTGTGCCTCTCCTTTTCCAACGATAAAGAAACGAAGAGAAATTTTTATTTTTGCCTGACAACGTCTATTGTCAAATTAAATGCAAATTCAGGACAAAAACATTTAAATGTAGTATAAGTTTTATCCCTTTCGGATTGTTAACGATCCAGTTCACAAGGTAATAGCGCAAAAAAACATACTATCCTACTCGTAGAAATAGATTTAAATCCGATCAGACCAATTTGTTTATTCCGTTTTGCCGCTTGCCTAGCTGAGGATAAGCAAATACGGAATTTGTTTGACTCGGCCGTCAATATTTTCACAAGGCGATCAGTATTGCTTGTACAAACCAGTCATATTCAACAAAATAGGATGTAACAACGTTAAAGCTCACTTTAATGGTGGCGTGCGGTTATCTGTAGTTTTTGGTAAATCATATTAAACGCAAAATGATTTGATTGTAAGCAATATTAGACCACACTGCTTTCGCCTAATACTGTAAAGTAAGCTATAATTGGAGGGAAAAAAGAAAAAAAAAGACAACAGTCTGATCCGAAGTAACCCATATTTATTTTTTGGTGCATCACACTAAGTTTTCAGTTCAATACGCATATTTTGTTACTATCATTTGTCCTTTTATTGTTTCGTTTTAGAAAATATAATTGTATGTTTTCTTTGGACGAACGATTTTCGATGACCCCCAGACAATAACTAGCGAATGTAGTTTTTTCCTGTGATACAGTATGATGTAAAAAAGACTGTTATGGTTGAGCATTTGTCCATTTATGAAGTCACATTTTCCAAATATTCTCATCTAACCATTCTCCGAAACTTTAAAAACTCATTCAAGATTTTATATAACAACAGTAGTGCTTACCACTGGACTTGGTTAACTATCGATGACAAAATGTCCACCAGTAGCGGAATCGACATAGTGGTTGTACAAACTTATCAGTTAAACCAGGCTTATAATTAGGTAACTAATTTTGTTAGAAATAGAAAACAAAACTTCCTTTGAGATAACCTTGAATAAGAGTACAACATGTGTCTTTGTCTTTCATTCGTTTATTGTCGTTACAATAACATAAATTTCATATGAAAATAACTTTTTTTTTTCAGAAAGTATACATTTTTGGTTTTCAAAAGTACACTGATGGCTCCATCACTCACCTCGTGGATAGCAGTTTTCATATCTACAACTGTACTCATAACCAGTTGTCAAGATTCATATCTACAAAGTTCATTTTTTACATATAAACCCGGGAATGACAACAATGAAAAATGTCATGTCAAAATTGAACGCGATGGCATAGCACTAATTAACAAAGGTATTACAATAATGTATAAAGACATTAAATTCGATAGAGGCTATTACGTTACAGTTGAACATTTTTACAAAAAAATGATAGCCGATAAGGATGCTTTAAACAAAATTATAACAAATCTTAGACGAGTTTTCTCAGAAGATGATTTACTGCTTAAAGATGGTAGAGAAAAATTCAAAATATCCGACACATATGAGTCAACAGCCGAACAAACTCAATCGCTTTTAATTTATTTGTATACAACTGACTCTAAAAACTCACTGTACTCTTACTTGAACAAAGTCCTCAGAGATCACTCCGAAAACTGTAATAGTAAAACGATTAGTGCACGCGAGGAATATCTTGCGCCATATGCTGCAGCGCTGACAGCTACTCTTCTTCATTGGAAAAATCTGAAGTCAACAAAAACAACTACTTATCGAGGCATACGGATAACTATATGTGAAACTAATGATCCAATTATTTGGTTAAGTTTCACATCGTCATCAATAAGCGAAAATGAAGCTGCTGATTTTGGAAGGGTCACAACTTACACAATTACTAACAACGCCGTCCATAATAAATGGCGGCCTAAACTAATTTCTGAATATTCAGCCAAGCCTGAACAGCAAGAGGCCCTATATCATCCTGGTTCAGTTTTTAAATTTAACAATGTTGTCCATATCGGGACAAAAGTAGCATATGACATAGCCTTGGCGACACCAGCATATCAAGTCATTAATTATGAATATTGTCCGAGCAATTAAGAACAAATGCACTTAAATGATCCTTTAAAAAAGATGTCTATTAGACTTATTCTTTTAGATGTTTTGTTACAGTTTCCTTAAGCCTCTTTGCACATTTGTTTATTGAAACGCCTATCATTTTACTCAAAATATAATAAACGTTTAAACGAACCATATAAAAGAAATATTTGCTATAACGTTTTATATGGTTTTAATTTTATAATTCGACCGGTATATATTAGAATAAACTTTTGTTTTACACACTTTCACTTTGTCGGTTTTTTTTTCTTCATTTGAAAAATACATCTATGAATAAGGGCAACAGTAGTATACCGCAGTTCGAAAGTCATAAATCGATTGACAGAAAACAATTCTTGTTTACAAACTAAAACCGGCGAAAAACATCAACTATAATAGGAAAACAACGAAAACACAGAAACACTGAAGTGCAACAAAAAACAAACGACAATGCAACACACACAGAAACGAACTATAAGATAACAACTGCCAGTTTCCTGACTTGGTACAGGGCATTTAAAAATATATGTTGGTTTGAACCTGGTTTTGTGGCTAGCCAAACCTTGCGCTTTTATGGCAATGTTAAATATAACACTAAAATTACAACATTACATGACAAACTACAGTACAAATAAATGCAAGAACATTCAGGACAGAGAAATACACAAATAAACAATACAATAGTTCATTTCGATATGCTTATAGTTATCAAAGGTACCAGGCTTATAATTTAATACGCCAGACGCGCGTTCCGCCTACATAAGACTCATCAGTGACGCTCAGATCAACATATCAAGAAAGCCAAACAAGTACAAATTGACGACAAACATAAACCTGATGTTTTATAATAACAATGAATTAAACAAACAATCTGCATCAGTCTAGTATAAAATAATTAAAACATAAATGTTTCATTAATTCAAATTTGCAAATATATATGATCATATATTAAAAATACGGCTTCATTTTAGCGTCGCTTTCTAAATATATACGTTCATATTCAACCACAAAACAAAACATTTAAATAGATGCTATTCAAATGAAAACATAGAAATGAGAAAACAAAAACTCATCACACGATACAAGTAGGCCCTTCGCTGTTCTTTAATCACAAAATGATCAAAAACTAAAAATCCTTTAATTTTTAGTAAACAATTTTAACTGTAGTTTTGCCTAGATACAGAGTGCCGAGTGATTTGATGCAATACATTATATGACATTGATTGCTGCATCGATTTCCGCCAATTCTTCTGCTCATTTTGTACATTTAAGCATATACTTTAAAATATTCTGTTTCTATTGATAAGTATGCATTAATACTATATATGAATATATGTTCTTATGCATAACGACTGTTTTTTTCAATAGGGCCCCGCCGAATGGCAGGTCGCTTTATAATAATCAGTCTGTCAGTCCGTCCGTCCGTTACAAATTGTGTTCGCTCTATATCTAAAGAGCCGTTATAATTTCATACTTTATGCTTGACATTTATATTAACCAACACCAGAGGATGTGTCATAATATTTGTACAACGTTCTAGGTCAAAGGTCAAGGTCAAAAACTATGGTTTCAGTATACAACACCATTGCCTATGGTACAGATACATTTTTTTTACCACGCGTTTATCACAGCGAGGCCCACAGAAATTGCTCCCATCTCAATGATGTCTAGTTCTTGGTTGGTTTTTTTTTGCAATAAATTCTTATTTATTATGCACGCCGTATCCTGATGAAATTTTGAAATAGAAATTCGATTTAAAGAAACGCAGGATGATGTGTGAAAACACGGGAAATTTTTCCACTATTAATGCAATTTCGTTAAAAAAACCCATTTGATTTTAAATGGTCGCCAAACAACATCGCTAGCAAAACAGAAAAAAATAATTTTATTTGGAAAAGAATACGGATAGAATTAGGCGAAAAAGCATCATACAAGTAGACGTTGAAACTCATACTGAAAATTATTTGTGGCATGGAATGAAAAAAACAAAAAATGTTTAAACTTGCTTATTTAGCCGAACAACTTTCCCTGTGTTCTAAGTGTAAACAGTCTCTGAAATTCATTGGACTGTTCAGAAGAAATCCGATATAGTTTCGAAAACATTTTAAAATGAAGTGCTAGCTTCGTGTAATCATATAAACGCAGTATACACAGGACAATAACATCAGAATACAGAGAAATTTAACAAAGGCTCAGAAATAGATTTGCACTTGGTTAGGAAGAAAAAAAATGAAATAATTCAGGTCTCGTTACAGTCTGACTGAAGCCATCCCCCAGTATTCTCTTGCGTCTACAAATGCAAGTGGAATAGGGGCTGGGTTTTGTCAGACAGCTCCCGTTACAATTTTTTTTTCATTTCCACTCTGAAATAAATTTTTTGAAATTTACAAGAAAGCTATTCATTATAAAAATCCATGGCTCAACAATAAACGATTAATCGGTGCGTTGATGAAAGTAAATCCAGAAAAGCTCTTCGAAAGCAAATACATTACAAAGAGATAGTTTTATTAACCTATATTATTCAAACGGGAGAAACAAACTGAAAAATTTAGCGAGATCTTAAAATTATTTAGATTTTATATTCATATTTATCTACGCTCAGGTATTCAGGGATGGTGTATGTTTGCATAATTGCATAAAGTGGGAAGACAAAACGACTAAAAGACGATTAACAAAATTGCCTTTTTGGGGAGCGGCATATTGTTAACATAGGCTTCGGAAAAAGCCAAAGGGTACTTACAGTCTTATAAGGAGTTTATACAACACGTATTCAACTATGTGTGTAAAAAGAAGTGTTGGTCTTTCTTGTGTGAATAAAATGGAGATTTGAGATATACAATTAGACATCAACAGCTGGACAATTAACGACAACAAAACCAAAGACATCTAGATAATCGTGACTAATGCATGATGGACGAGTGTCTTTTTACTTCTTATTTCCAATTTTAGTAAATAGTCGTTGGTCCCTTCAGTGGAAGGTATATTGTTTTACCCGTGTCCGTTCGACCGTCCGACGCGCATATAGGGTTCATATAATTTCTTAGGACTACAGTTTTTTTAGAATCAGCTTCAAAAATGTGTACCTGATGTTACTACTTATACCAAAGGTGCAAAGATCGTAAGATTTTTTTTTTATAACAGGTTGCTGTATTTGGCTTTTTGATAATATATAAAGGCACGCAGAGAACAGACTCCGGCTAAATCCTCCTAATGTACAATTTCAAGCTGGAACCATTATATTGCGCAGAGTATTTTACTTATATAGAGGGTGCATATATTGTCTGAATATATTTTTTTGTATAATTTTCCACGAATGACAGAATGTTTTAAGTGAAGTTTTGAAAACAGTTTGCAAGGTTTTTCCGACTTTCTACGCACACAACTCATACGTGTACACAATACAGAGTGTACCATTGAATGTTAAGCAACCATCAATCATGACAATAAATCCAAAATGTACTTCAATATCACTGTTTACTTTTAATAAAATACATTTTTTTAAGTATTATTGCAGTGGTGGTATCACCACTGTCTAGAATGGTAGGGTTAAGTTGAAGATTTAGTTATTTTAATGAATCTCACGTAAAACTGTTCATGTAATTTTCACGTGAACTTTACAAAGAATGTATTTTTCATAACTTTAATTTAATTTGAAAATTGAGATATTATTTGAGTAGTTGTATATTGAAAATTCACATGAATTTAACGTGTACAAAATTCATGTTATTTATACATACTTCATAAGTATCACGTATAAGCTCGTTTGAGGTGAAAATGTCACGAGATTCGCGTGAATTTCAATGCGTGAGAGCAAAATTTCCATGTGTAGGACAAATATAAATTAAATCAGTAGAATTGTATATTGAATTATCAGGAAATTTATGAAACCCGACAGGAAAATGAAAATGAAATAACACCATTAATATTCCCACACATATGTTTTCAATACCTCTGAGAAAGAATAACGTTATTCTGTATTCAGTAAGTTCACACGTTTTCGGTCATATTCCAAGCGTATCGATCCACTTTGAAGCCATTCATCTATAAAACAAGGATGGTGACATATGAGTTTCTATACATGTATTGATTCAGTATACAATCCTGGATAGTATGTTAGTTTTACGTGTTTCTTCGTATGTAAGAACATAGGCATCCATTGAAAAATCAAAAAAGATAAATCGAAAAAAAGATATTTTCTCTATATACATGATATACCTATGTAAATTTGTCGCCAAAATTGACGTTTTCATATGAAAAGTACAAGTAAACAAAATTGGTGACCCCTAATTTTAAATACATATTCCGATTTAACACAATTTGAAGTACAAGTGTGCCAAAATGGTTAGAAAACGGGAGATATGACATTCGGTATCGTGTTACCTTAAACTAATGGAAATAAATGATATTACCGATAAAGACAATATCATATTGTTTTACCTTCACTGTTAACTGCGGGTGAAGGTACACCCATGAAAATGCTTCGAAAGCATGACTTTATAATGTGTTTATTTATAACAATTTCAATTTATAAGTAGCATTTCTGAAATTGTCCATTGAAAATTCAGATAATACTAAGACATAAGGGTTTTACCTGAAGGTCAATGTTAGTCATACAGACCTTCAAGTGTTTCGGGTCTTATAGATAGATAGACTGGTTCCCGATCGCAATATTCAGTATGTTACACATATACCAATATAATACCTGGAACTTAGTACCGGGAACCAGGATAATAGATAGATAGATAGATACTTTATTCTCTAAAAACTAAATACAAATTTACAGAGAAACATACAATATAAATACAAACACAATAGTACATGCATGGCGTTCACATATTCGAAATCGGTCATCACTAATGAAGGCAAATTCTGAAAAGCACTTCGTACGCATAAAACTTACCCAGCAGACATTTGACGTTGTATAAACATCCGTTCGACGTCAGACCCTAACGTTGCGCCTACGTTAGATTTTGGTTGTATATGATATTTTTTAGACGTCAAAAAACTGACGTTTACCCAACGTCTTGACATACGTCCGTTCAACGTCTGTACAACGTAGTTACAACATCAGTACAATGTTAGTACAACATCAGATCAACCAACAGGATGAACTCGAATAAGGATGTTCCACGTCTGTACAACGTCTAATCAACGTCATAACAACCACCATTAAACCTCTTTAAATATCCTCAGATGCCTGTACAAAGTCTAATCAACGTCCTAACAACCACCATTAAACCTCTTTAAA